GGGGGGTCCAGATCCAGCAGCAGGCCTTATCTACGGGCTGTTATCAGTGGGTGGGGGCGACAAGCGACTCGACCGGGAAGTGCAGCGGTGTAAAGCGAAGCGCATAGCCACCCGTTTTGGGGAGTGGGATGGTAATCTCTTTTCAAAGCACTACCTTCGGCTTCCAAGAATGGGAAAAAAAGATGTTACACAGACAGTGATTTTCGGCGGGCGGCGGTATCGCCATGGTTTCTTCCTCTGTGTGGTAACATTAAATTTAGAGGGTACCCCACGGACCCCAGAACATTCAGTAGTGATTTTTTGTTTCAAATTTAAAAACCAGCGTTTCTTGTGTGTGCCACCATCTCAGCAGCAGGATTCCTTCTGCTGGGTGGAGGACTCGAAGCAACACACCACGACACAGCGCGGGCCTGGCAAGAGCGGCAAGAGCCGATTGTCAACGTGAATGTGAATACAAATCAATGGAGATTTGTTGTCGCACCACCGGAGAGGATAGACGAAAGAGAAAGAAAGAGCCGAAGAGAGGGGGAGGAGAGAGAGGGGACTGGCAGACTGTAGTTGGGCCTCACACTCGGTATTCAAATCAATTTCAGCGATTCACGATGAGATGATCGCTGCGCTGTCAGCACAGCGTAAGAACCCATACCGAACACACTGTCCACAAACCCAACTGAACAATAAAAGCAAATAAGCTAGTTTTTTTCTTTAAGTTTTTGTTTGTGTTCTTTACGTTGTATATGTCGCGGGGCGCCTGCGGAGTAGGCAACGCCGCTGCCCTGCAATCTCGTGCGAGCAGCAGGTTGCCTACCCGAGCAACGTAAGGCGTTCGGCCGAGACCCGAGGGAGTAGGCAACGCGACTCCCCGGCACGCGTCCGGGAGGAGCGGGCTGCCTATCCGAGACACGCAGGCGTCCGGCTCTGCAGCGACAGCAGGACACGAAGGCAAGACCAAGACACACGGCCGGCGTATAAAGGTGGGGGGAGGGGAGGTCTGGGGCTCACGCCGGCATCACGCCGAGCGCACGGTCGGGACGGGGCGCGGCGGGCGGGCGGGCCGTGGGGCGTTGACCGTGAGAAGTATAAGGCGATGGAGTGTGGGTG